GAAGCTGCCGCGCACATTTAAAGCCCGCGCGGAAAAGTTCCACACCTGCGGTGGTCCCAGGCGCCGCCCCGGCCTTGGCGAAGGCCGGGGTCGGCGGATATCTATTGATATCTATAGATATATTCCGAGTCCCGAGGCGAACATCCTTCCAGCGCGTTACCAGCCCGGAGCCAGCCCAGTAGAGCGGACGCCGAGAGGCGAGGGTTGGGTTGGGGTGGTGAATTTGCAATGATTTTTGGAGGAGTATCTAGATATATCTATAGATGATCAATGGGAATTTCATGGAAAGTTTGCGGGGTATTTTGGTTCTCTCATCTTAATGATCTTAAGGGATCAAGTGCCCAAGGAAGCACATCGCGGATGGAAATCCACAGTGATCCAGGTTGTATTTGGGTTGATAAAGCTGGTAAACAATTTGGATGTTGCCAGCACCGACGGATACAGGCTATACAAGGCAAAACATTGATTTGACCCGAAGCAGGATACATGAAAATCATGAAACTAGTAGAGATGTGTACTGAAAATGAATCGGCGTGTCTGTCCCAAAAATGTTGTGGATATGCAAGTCCTACTCATTCAGATAACATGGTTGATTCTTTTGCAGGTAAGGGTCATCACTTGAGTGTCAGTGACCCCCTTGGATGGTGACATATTCACAGTTGTAGCAACTGTCAACCTTTAAGGATAGAGGCAGCTGACTGGCACCAGGTCGCATTTGCTGGGGATCAGAGACAAGGCGCCGAAACGCAGTTGCAGGGGGACCTCGAAAAAAACTTTGGAGGAGTTGACCATGAGTGGTGGATTGAACCACCGAAAAATGAGGATTTCATGAACCAGAAAATATAGTGAAGAAGTGTGGATTTAACCTTGCCGAACAGTGGATTTTGGATGATTTTGGGACAAGAATCATTGAAGAAGGCCAGCATTCCATTCTCGAGTCCTCTAGGTGTTAATTTCGGATCGAATCCACCAACTTGGAGTGCTTTTGAGTACAGTACTACCCTCCTGGGAATCAAGATGAATCAAGTCATGGAAATTCACCAATAAATAGTTGGATGATCTTTCCAGCTATAAAGCTCCATTTTTGATGGGGATTTCCCATAAGTTAGCTCCAGGAGCGTGTCGCCTCGGTCGCATCCTCCAAACTCCGTGCACAGCTTGAGTGCCTTGGATGATCGCCAGTTGGGGGTTCAAACCAGAGCAACATAAAAAGCTCAGTTGAGGATCAGACTTGATCATATTTTCATCATCCTTACCATTGATACCCTCTGGTAATTTAACATAGCTATGGAAAATCACAATTTTTAATGGGAAAATCCACTATAAATGGCCATTTTCAATAGCTATGTTAAATTACCATTGATTTCTGTGAATCCAGTTGTGTCCATCTTTGGTACCGTTGGTATATTTTGATCATCTGATCATCTCTGGGTGTCCCCAAGATTTCGATGGTCAAATCCCATGGTGGTTGGATTCCCGTGTTTCTGGTGCCATGAGTTCCATTCTTTGCCATATCTCAATGATTTTTTTTTGAATTTATCGTTTGTTGCTCAAATCCAACAAAAGTGATGGTTGAATCGTGAAATCCCCAATTTGGCTGGTTAAATCACCATATTATCTGATGGTCAAAGCTGGTTAGATTACCATTTTTCATGGTAAAACACCATTTTCTCCACTTGTCCTTCCCAAAAAAAAACTAGCTGAGGTCGCCCGCGCCGGGACCGGAGCCCTCCAAGGGGACCAAGCCCCCAGAGAGTGCAGACCCCGCAACCATGTGCGGCTGGCATGGTTGCAGATGATTTCCCATGGATTTCCCCATGGATTTTATTTTCAGAGGCTACAGTTTCATACAATTTCCCATTCTTAGAAGTCTTAGAGGTTACACTGAAAGGCAGAGGAAATTCATGCAATCTACCCACCTCACCTTCAGTCCAGGATACCCCTGGGTCGCAGGCGTACTGCGAGAACTGCGAGTTCCTGAGGCATAGCGATCAGATGTCCCATTCATGGGGGGGGAACAGCTTTCATACAATCCCAATCAACATTGACCCTGCAAAATAGGGGGTTGGAAGACAATTTTCCTCTAAGAATGGGTGATTCTCAGGGTCTATGTTAGTTTAGGGGATGGTAATAACAATTTGAAGGTGAGGTTTAACCTGTTTAAAGTCCTCGAGATATATCAAAATGCAACAAAATTGTTCCAGCTCCTGTTAAATTTCTCCAAGACTTTGCCAGCCGCAAAGAGTGTAGAGTTTCGACCATCAGAAGCGGCAGATGGATGATATGCCACATTCTGAAGGCGCATGAGTAGTCACACCCAAGCATTTTAGAGGACAAGTTTGGGTCCGAACAAACAACAATGTCGATGCAGCTATATTTGTTGCGGGATAACACAATAAATTGTCCTTCAATCTCTCTACTGTACATGGCACCCTAAATGAAAGGATTTTCTACTAAACAGGTCTGTTTCTGGGGGATCTTTTTGTATTTCTTTTCTTGCTTCTTCTTCTTCTTCCTCTTCTTCTGACAACAATGATTTTTTGTCGTCATCGTTAATATTACCATTCTGACTATCGTTACTGCTGCTCTCATTGTCGTCGTCGTCGTCGTCGTCATCGTCGTCGTCGTCGTCGTCGTCGTTGTTGTTGCTGCTGTCGTCGTCGTCGTCGTCCGCCGTCGTCGTTGTCGTCGTGGTCGCCGCCGTCGCCGTTGCCATCATCATCCTCGTCGTTCTTCGTTGTCAATTGGTACTATGATCACTACGGTACGATTTTTACACCTTGTTCTTAAAAAAAAAAGTATAAGCAACAATACATGAGGATTATAGTTACACATATGGGGATGGTTTCTACCATCCATACCCAAGGCCGCGGCCAGCCGGGACACGAGTCCGGCTCGGCTGGCGGCGGCGGAGGCCAAGCGGTTGGTGTGGGTGCCGAGTTGCTGGGAGAACGGTGAGAGAATCGTTGATGAGACCAAGTCCCAATGGGGTAAATGGGATAACGGGGATTTCAATGGGGAATTAACCAATGGAGATTTCTATATATTTCTATGGGATTTATCTGAACCAATGCTCACGTTGATTTCATGGGATAAACATGGATAAATGAGATATCAATATTTTTTGTCCTATCAACACTCTAAGTGGGGATTCCTAATGGATGGGTATTAAATCCCTAAACCCCCAGATTTTTAGTTTTAGAGTGGCGGGAAGGAAAACTTCATCTAGATTCAAATTTTGGGATACCACATTTTCAGACAAACGCGTGCATTGGGCCTACCGATGGGCCAAAGTCAACACCTACGAATGAACATCATGTGCCGGACTCAAGAACCCCCCAAACCTCCAAAACCCTAACGCCCAGAAAGAAACAGTCAACCCGTACACCAACGAAAAAGGTGTGTCTATTTGATGTGAATAATCTTAAGATCATAAACGTGTCTGATAGGTGGTCAAAATTGTGATCAATCGAAGTCCAAACTACTTTTTGGCAAAGCAAATGTCAATTTCCAGGTTCCCTAAGGTTCACTATTTTCGATTTCGTTTTATTTTTTTCCATCCAACTTGGAGTAGAGCTAAGGTGGCCGAGGGCCAAGGGCGCACCCCTGCGGTTGGGCGTGGAATCATAGTATCCGACTGGAACACCATTGAGGCGTCAGATAGGGATGATTCACTGGTAGAAACGAATTGGTTCGGTTCGTGCTTGCGCGGAGGTTTTCCTTCGGCCTGTCAACCATTAACATGTCCGCTGGAAATTGGTGCATGCAAAAAACACTGAAGATTGCTGAAGTTGGAAGGGGCACTTGGGACTGGTCAAAATGCATAAGATGCCCAGGTGGGAACGTGCTGCAAAGGCACAGGACACATTGCTTGTCATTTTGCGACCACAACATTCTCAATATCCAAGGGCTGCCAGGGGAACATCAGAATAACACCAGCAGTGTAATGAGGGGCGTGCTTTCCGGGATGTCAACTGTTCTGTTTTTGGGATTTTGAACATCACTTTTGGATGGTTGGAGATGTGACCAACAGTTTGGTGATCCTCCAATTGGCCTGGTAGGACTTGGACTTGGCACCGCTGGAGACAGTGGTCAAGCTGACTGTTCCGCAGGATGTTGGCCGCAGATGAAGTGGTGCAGGTATGTCCAGGTCCCATTTTTGCAGATGTAAAATGGGGTACACTCAAAAATTGGGTCAAGATTAAATTCACGACCTGTCCATCCGTCTGGGTCTAGGGTGCAATCGTTGATACCATTCTACGATTGTTTCCTTCCTATTTCCCAAGGAGTTGGTGGTCCTACGCACCCAAAACTTTCAGATGGAACCCAATAGTAGATAATAGTAGTAAAATCATCTTTGGGACCTTGCTTTTCAGGTTGTTTCATCTTAAATTTAGGGAATGTAACTAGATTGTATGCCCCGCAGGAAAGGTCGAGGAGATCTTCAAACCGAGGTGCTTTCAAGGTTCGTTTCCACCCTCCGTTCTGACTGCGGCTGGAGGTCTTGATGCAGGCCCCTAAATGAAGACATCCAATTAGTTTAATCAGGGTTTCGTTTGGGATAAGGGATTAGGATCATGTTTCCACTGTGAGACTGTTCGCAACCAATGAAAAAGTAGTAATGATATGTAATGATCATAACAGTGAAAATGATTAATGATATAATGATTCTTGACACACATTTTCTCACTATTTCTGATCTCTGAATCCTGGGCTCCCTGCCAACTGCTCCGCCAGGAGCTGCTTGGGTTCCCAGCTACAATGGATGTGTCAACAGATAGCCCAAATTGCAACAGATTGGGAAACTACCCATGCGTTGATTCAGGAAAAAAAATCCCTGGTCACCACTGATTCGGATGCGATAGATAGTGGGACTGCACGTCTTCAGTGTTTTTGGTGCTAGGTCTCAAGAGTTTCTTTTGGTGAATCAGATTCCCATCAGAATTGATGAGATTTCGTAAGGGCTGAGTATTTGTTCCATATTCCACAGCTGCCTCAGCATGAAGAGATTGCTGCGCAGCCATGGACTGCGACGGAGCACCGGTTTGTTGGAGCAAAGAATCAGCCCAGCTGCTGTCCATGTAGCCCAGTCACCGGTGCAGCAAGCCGCTGCGTCCGCGTCCCGGATGCAACTCCCTCAACGGTGGCGGGGCCGTGTCTCGCCGTTGACCTCGTTCAGCCCTTTTGTTGCACCAGGAACGAAGCTGGGCATCCGGAGCATGGCATCCAGGGGCAGTTTGTATGATGTGTTGGGGGTTTCTCCTTCAGCCACACAGGCGGAAATCAAGAAAGCATATTTGTCGGAGGCGAAGAAGTGTCATCCTGACTTGAATCCAACGGCTGATGCCAAAGATCGTTTTCAGAAACTGGCTGAAGCCTATGAAGTCCTGGGCAACTTGGAACGACGGGCTTCCTATGATTATTCCCTGCGCACCGGATCTACCTACACAACTTACAGCGGTGCTCGACGTTCAAATTCCCCACCTGGTGGGGGTCAGCACATGGATCCTGGTGAAGTCTTTCGTGCTGTTTTTGAGGAGCTGGGTGTTGACGAGATCTTAGAACGCCTCCGAACCGTGCAGCAAGAGGGGGTGGTGGCTGCCAACGCCGCACAAGCGGGGAACTTTACCCCGGCCAAGCAATTCGTGTGGAAACACAAGGGAGTTGCAGCGGCTGTGCTGCTGCCACTCGCCATTTTGTTTCGCTTTCCTCAAATCATCAGTATCTCCTTTCGCATCCTGGGCTTGGCAGCGGCATCCTTGCTGCAAAGTCCAGCACTGCGCGAGATGGTCTCCAGATGGGTTTGGTTACAGTGGGGTGCCTCAGGGCAGTCCTTGTCATGTGACTTTGTCTAAACATGGGGGTACCATAAAATCCCATGGAAATATGATTATATATATATATGATTATATATATATATATGATTATGTATATATATGATTATGTATATATATGATTATGTATATATATATTTGATTATATATATATGTTTATATAGTTTATATATATATATATGTATATATATATATGTATTGAAATGCCCATAGATTGGTGTATACCCATGTCATGTTGTGCATGAAGTCCAGATGACTCTTCTGAGGTGGCGACTGCTAGTGGCCCGCGCCCAAGAAAGAAGAAAGAAATAATGGGCGCGCAGAAAAACCTAAAAAAGACTTTGAAGCTACTTTGAAGCTATTTGGCAAGGGAAACTTCAATGATTGCAAAAGGTAAAGAAAGTCAACTAAGTTCCTGGAATGCTATTGGTTTCTTCTCACAACATCCTGAAAGCTGCTAGTCTTTTAAGCCTTTTGGCCTTCCAGTGATATCTTGGAAAATTGACACCAGATGTGGTTTAAGATAATATGCGATTTTTTCTTCCACCTCAGGTGGTGACATTCTTCTTCTTAGGGATGGGTCTTGGGCTGGGCTTCATGCTTTGAATCCTTGGCCGGCTTTTGGCTCTGATGCAGCATTTGACAGGGATGGCTGCATTCTGGGAACAACAGCAGTACTGCACATGGTTTCCGGGTATTCTTTTGTCCAAAAGGTGGGGTGAGCCTTGGTCAAGTACAAGCTATTATGATTCTGAGTCGGATCTCTCGTTTGTGAACAGCTGGTTTGAATGTTCGCAGAAGATAGACACAGCCAACGGACTGGAAAGCGGGGACACCCCATTCACACTGCGAGAGTGGCAAACCATAGCGGTGCGCCGGTGCATTACTCAGCAGTAAAAGTTAGTGCAGAATCAGAATCAGATGCTCTCAGAACTTGGTGCGAGACTGGGGAAAACGTTCCAAATTTCCATGGATTTTCCATGGCAACATGGCAATTTAAACATGGCAACGGATGATATCAACCATAAGCCATGGGATATCATGGGATGTCATGGGATTCTTGATGCCGAGGATATGGCCATGGGGCCCACAGGGCCCACGGGGCCCACGCGCAGCATGAACAGTAGCTCCATGCTACTGGGCAGGAAGTGGGGTGATAACTATGGCGACTGAAAATGAATTGTGAATTGTACCTTGAAGTCAAAGATGAGTAGATTCTGTGATGGCGATTATAATGATAGTTAATGACAGTTGGCGGGTGAAGCAACCTGACCAATCTGTCGGAAAGATTTTGAACGAATTTTTTAAGGCAGTGTTTGCCACAAATTCTGGTCTTTGGGTCGGAAACCACGACATGCACTTGCCGTGGCGAACCCCGTTAGATACAGATTCCTGAGATGTGTTGAACCACCAACTAGCCATCAACTTGTTCGTCAAAACCCTGCTTCTTGATGGTTGAGATTGAAATCCCATCGGTGTTGTTTACTCCCCATTCTTCTTAGCTCTTTTGGCACTTTCAAGATTTTCAAGCCCTTTTGCTGTATTTTGGGCATTTTTTGGGGCTCCATTAGATGAATTCCCATGACCTACGCGGAAAATTGTATCGGTTTTCCTCCCCCAACTGATGTCTGTGTTAGGTCATGGAGTGCTCCACAGCTGCGAACTCATGCTACCCCTTGGAACGACACGCTGCGATTGTGCGGTTTCTCAAGCCGTGAGGGATGGGACATGGGCCCTGAAACGCCATGACAACAAGGGTGGAAGGTAAGGTGTTAAACCATGGGGTAGAATGTTCTTTGTTTTTAGTTTTCCATTTTTTTTAAAGACAAAGCCCACAGATATTTTTTTTCATCCCTCAACATTGGGGATATCACAAGAACTTTCCATCTCATGGAAGTCGCAAACCTCAGGAGCCGGCCCCCGGAAGATTTCATCGCGGATTTTCTCCACAGAAGTGAATGGTGACTAGTTAATAGCTGAAGTATGATTGATAATCCCAATTGGTAGTTTTTCATAACACTTGATCAACACTGATTCATAGTTTGATAGTTGATACCCATTGATACCCATTGATACCCAAGATCAAACGTCGTTTTGGGTGTTTCTTTGGTGAAAGATGACCGAAGGCAGTGAGATACTGGCGATCGCGAGGCCACGAGAAGGTCCCAAAGCTGGAGGTGGAAAGATGGAGGTCTTGGAATCTGGAGTCCTTGAGGCGCGTCTGGAGGTCGCATCGGTCGCATCTCTGCCTTTTTTTGTTTCATTTTGTTTAAAGATAACCTTTCTGTCCTTTTCTTTCTCAGAATTGACAGCCGAACTTAAAGTTACAGTATTCTTGAAATGAGTTTGTCCCAAAATGAAGGGAGTTGTCCCTGATTGCCAATTAATATGGCCAGGATTCCGGGCGGCGAAAGTTATGGTAACCCTGGCAGACCATAGGATCCGTAGGGCTTCCAATTTGTGGTCCGACGCAGACCCTGCGAGCCGAAGCTGCTAGAGATCAGGCAGAAGCTGAGGCGGTCAGATGATATGGGGGTACCTCTATTTCAGGAAACATCAGGAAACCACCATGTTCCAAACTTCACGATTTTCAGGGTTTTTCTTGGCTTCATGTTCAATTTCAGGGGTCAGTTTGGCATGAGATAGGTTTTGAAGTAGGATATCGGATTTGAAGTAAGGGAACTCGGAATTTGAGGAGCTCACCACTGGTGGGCTTTACGCAAGTTTTTTTGTCTGAACAAGTGTAGTGTGGTTTTGATTCATAGCCGTATTCGCAGGATGATTCACAACTATTGTGCTCAATCAGTCTCAGGGCATCTAAGAAGTACGACTCTTCAGCCGAGTCAGATCTTGATTTTGAAAGGCAGGGTGACACATGAAAGATGATGATATAATTTTGGACAAACAACGAGACATTTGGTTAAAATCTCCAAGATCTTCACCTTTCTATGGTACTTTTCCTGTAAACCCATTGAGTGACACACTTGCCATCACACACGGAACGGTCGGAGCGGTGGTTGAGGCCCTTGGGACTCGCAAGAAAGACAAGACCAGGAGGACACCCTGCGGAATGGCTTGGAACTATGGGGGAACTAGGGGAGAATGGGGTCAACTTTAGACTTTTTTCTTGTATCTTTCAACTGTAAAATAAGCTTTGGTGGTATCCCCAACAGCCGCAACGGTCTATTTTTACAAATCTTTCTGAAGCGTGCTGCGAAGCAAAGCGCTGGAAACACCTCAGCTGGGTTTCCGTGAGTTAAATGGCCGCAAATCCCGTTGAACCTGACCTGGCTCTACCAAAGCCTCCCGGAACCTTCTCTGGAACCTTCTCCGGAACCCTGTTGAACCGGACCCGGCTCTGCACCAAAGCCTTGCAGACCTTCTCCGGAACCTTCTCCGGAACCCTTTGGACCTGACCAAGCTCTGCACCAATGCCTCCCAGACCTTCTCCAGAACCTTCTTCGGAACCCTGTTGAACCTGACCTGGCTCTGCACCAAAGCCTTGCAGACCTTCTCTGGAACTTTCTCCGGAACCCTGTTGAACCGGACCCGGCTCTGCACCGAAGCCTCTCCGACACCAAGGCTTCCTGGAACCTTCTGCGAAACCTTCTCCGGAACCTGTTGCACCTGACCTGGCTCTGCACCAAAGCCTCCCAGACCTTCTCCGGAACCTTCTTCAGAACGCTGTTGAACCTGAACTGCCTATGCACCAAAGCATCCCGGTCTCCGGAACCTTCTCCGGAACCCTCACCTGACTCTCCACCAAAGCCTCCCAGACCTTCTCCGGAACCTTCTCTGGAACCCACCTTCTCCGGAACATTCTCCGGAACCTTCTCCGGAACCCTGTTGAACCTGACCTGGCTCTGCACCAAAGCCTCTCCGACACCAAGGCTTCCCGGAACCTTCTCCGGAACCTTCTCCAGAACCCTGTTGACCCTGACCTGGCTTTGCACCAAAGCCTCTCCGACCTTCTCCGGAACCTTCTCCGGAACCTTCTCCGGAATCCTATTGAGCTTAACCTGGCTTTGCACCAAAGCTTCCTGGAACCTTCTCCGGAACCCAATTCAACTTAATCTGGCTTTATGGAATGCTCCGGAACCTTCTCCGGAATCCTGTTGAACTTGACCTGGCTCTGCACCGAAGCCTCCCAGGCCTTCTCCGGAACCTTCGGAACCTTCTCCGGAACCCTTGTGCCTATGCTGTTGGGGAACAATTCCAAAAAACTCAAAAGACAATGTTTGGGAAGATGTCTGGCAAGAATGGCAAGAAGATGCCGACACCTATTGAATCATCACTTGAGTTAGGAGGGAATGGTTGGGTCCATACAGTGTGTCCTGAGGGAAGCCCGTGCATGCTGACTTTCATCAAGGATTTTTCCAAAAGTTTTTTTTTTGGGACCTGAATACTTTGGAATCGCAAACACCTTTTAAAAGATGTTCTTTGACGACTGAAAATTTGGGATTGCCTGAATGTCATCTCTCGTGAGATTGGAGGCATCTCAAAAGGACTCCGAAATTGTGGTTTAGGGAGATGGTTCGCGGTGATTCCCTCAATGGTCGTGTGATCTTTGAATTGGAATCAGCCAGCAGACTCCCCGGCTCCATCCTCTTTTTCCACGCCTTCGAAGGCCGCGGCAAACAGCCTCACAAGACACCACCAACGATCGGATCTCAGCAGGTTTCGGTCAAGAAAGGACAGGCTTAGCTGGCTGAGTTGCGTCAGGGCTGAGGTTTCAATAGTAGGGTCATGCTATTCCTACCCAATCCGACTTGATGCTGATACAGGTGAGTGGGCAGGTGCTCAGTGATCCATCAGTTCATGGCCCAAGACCAGAAAATAATCCTTAGTCTGGGGATGTCTGGGGGATCACTAAGCTTTGGACATCCAAAACTGCCTATTCCGAGGTGACCAGTGCGCCGACGATCATGGTGCAAGGTGGAGAGGGCGGGTCAGAGTTTAAGACATGGTCAAAAAGAATGGTGATGATGATGGTGATGGTGATGGTGATGATGATGATGATGATGATGGTGATGGTGATGGTGATGGTGATGATGATGATTACTGGTATGGTGATGGAGCAGGGAGGATTTCAGCCACTGGAGGTTTCATCAGCGCATGTCATCAGCGACAGAGCAGAGCCCAATTGAACTGGACCCAGCAGACCATTCGTTGCTGAGTTCCTGAAACGCTGGGGTTGCACCTTTGGGGTGGCCAGTATAGCCAGTCTGTGGTTGGCACATGTTGGCTAGTACCCTCTGGTAAACTAACATGACTATGGAAAATCACCATTTTTAATGGGTAAATCCACTATAAATGGCCATTTTCAATAGCTATGTTAGTTTACCAGAGGGTACCACTTGTTAAAACACTGTTGAACTTCGGATGCCTGGAATGGGATGACAGGTGCTGATGGTGAGAGCATAGCCATCGCCTCGGGGCTTCGTTCACAATTGGGGCATGAGTCACGACCTTCACATAGTTATGCTATGTTATGCTCTGATGTACAGTTGAAAGATGTTGAAACATAAACTGAGCAGTCAACTTTTTGGCATGTTTGTTAGTTCATCTTCCTCTTTTGTTTTTTTGGCCTAGAATTGATTAGGTCTTGCCACCTCGTCGAGCCGAGAATTTGGACGGTCCAGAGGCACACAGCGGATTGTTCAATGTGTGGATATCCTCGAAATTTCTTGGATTCTTAGAATATCCTAAATGGAAAGAAGAAGTGATCCCAACTATTTTCATGGTGATTTGGTCATATATTTTATTTTAATTTTACTAATTTCTATTTTTTTTTGTGCGAAATTCCGACATCGTTGGACTTCTTGGGCTTAGCCCGCCAGGCTCGTCGGCGGGTGGAGATGCAGATGAAGTTCAACAAGGCTGGATGCATCTGATATAAATGATCAAAACAATGGTTTTTGTCTGAAAATGAGGGAAAACCATGGGAAACCCCATGAAAGGCATGGAAAACGGAGAATCGCCTAAATCCACTGGAAAAATCATCATTTTTCCTCTTAACAATGAAACCAATTTGGGTGGTATACTCCGTTTTCAGACATGCCAATAGCTTTGGGGCTCATACGCTTGGCAAAGGTCGAAATTGCACTGCAAGCCGACCAAAAGTTCATTCGGGAACATGCCGAAAAGCTCCTTGGACCTGCACTTGTCAGGTGATCTTAATCGACAGCTTGAGATGGCCGAAAGGGAAATGATCTTTACCGCAGACAACCAATGCAATCTCCATGCTGTCAAATACCCATAAATACCCCTACATTGATTATTCTCCCCAATACGTGTAAATGCCCTATACCATGGTTTCTGGGGGGTGTTTCATCTTAGGGGGTGTGGATTATCCAGCCACATTTGGTCTTGATTTCGTGGTTTAGCCAGTTTAGCCACCGCTGAGGGCGAAAACGATGAGAGAAGATCGCTTCAAGCGGCTGGTCGACAATGTCTGCGACCATGGAGGCACTCAAGTCATCCCAGTCATCCCCGGGATCCAAAACTTGCACCGCTTTGTCCAGAACCGGGGCATGCCCGGCCATGGCACCAGCGGGCTGGAATGGGGTTTTCGAATTTTTCGGGGAAACTCTTCTGGTCGGGACACACCAGCTGCCTTGGCCCCACACCCAAATGGGCTTGGAGATATATCGGGGAGAATGCGACTCGCGAAGGGTTGAGCGGCTTGAGCCCCAAAATTTGGGACAGATTTCAGGTACTGACCTTCCCCATATGCCCAGAGCCCTGGCCTGCAGGTCTTTCCATGGATTGTGCGGAAAATTTGGCCAACTTTGAGAAAAGGTATCAGACTGCCTGGCACTGTTGGGATCCGTATTGTGGCCTGATCAATGTCATAATCAACTTCAACTCGTCCTCAATTTTGCCCGAAATGGGTCACTCATATAGATCAGCATTGGAGGCTTTCATATTTGCTTCAGCCAAACATCAACATATAATAAACACAATAAACCTGATTTTTTTTGGGGATGGTTTAACACACCCGCCCTGGTTGTTCAAAAGACAAGCCAGGCAGCGGCGCTGGGACCTGTATTCTCAATGGGATGAGAACGTTGCCCACCGTTTGGCGAAGCAGGCAGGGTGGAGCATAGGACCTGACCAAGCCCGCCTTTCGCACCTGGCCAGGCATTTGAGTCCTTGAACCCTGCGGATCGCTCAGCACAGCAGAAGCTCAGTGGGTCTAGACACATCAGCCCTCCCGGCCAGTTATGCCCATGTCCTGAAGACAAGAACTTTGCAGGTAGATGTGCGGATGACTTCCTGTCAACTTTGGCAGACATTCTTAAGCAAAAGACGAAGCCTACCATGTTTGCCTGGCACCACACCCGAAATGTATCGCAAAACCACTTGGCATTGCTTCAAGCAGTGCCACATGACAGGCTGGAAGTTGCCAAATGAGAAGCCACTGCTGAAGTTGGATGTGACCAAGGAAGTTTCTGGGTTTATCTGACCACAGGGTGCACGAATCCCCTGGTTTGTCATCATTTTACCATCAGAATCGTCGTTTTGGGGTATTCCATGGTATCCACCATTTTTGTGACACACTGGGTACAGCTGGGCATCGAAATTTGACAAAAGAGCTGGAGCCCGCTGGGCGTTTTTGTTGACTCCCTGTAAGAGTTCAAAGTCGAGCCCATTTTCAACTGCCTGAGTTTTCCGCTGTACAAAATCAAGAGCGCTGGAAAGTTGGGTGCAAGCCCCCCAATCCCATGGCATTCCCATGGCATTTCCGGCTGGGCCGCCAGGATCCCATCCGACGGCCGCTACTAGAGGCGGAGTACGAGAAAGCCTTCGATGAGGTCGGATGGGTTGAAAGAAATGGATGGCTTGAGAGTAGGAATGAGCAATTTTTACTGATCTTACTGGTGCTAAACGCAGGGAAATTTCGGGAATGATCCATTTCATCACTAATAATCATCCCAGCAACCCCCAGCAACCCATCCATTCCCTACGTTTAGCACCAGTAAGTTTATCTTTTTTGATGGGTTTACAATATTTTACACTTGTAGAGTTCCCCATTGGCGATGCATACCCCCCACGAGTGATGAGGATTTTTCTGATAGACGATAACGGATGATCTCATTGACGGTCTTGTTTGTATCTGGCGGATAAGAACATGATATTTTTTTCAATTTGTTAGTGATCATATATTCCCCGGCATATCTTGGGCTCAATCCTCCATTTCACACGGCTGTATCATATTGTTGGCTCCATCTCATTACCCCTCATCTCCTCATTTTTCACTTGCTGTTCACCCAATTTTCAAGATTGATAGTGAACCCCCCCTCTGATTTTCACACCAAAAAATCCATGAAACTGTGATGGTAGTCCCAATTTGTCCCCTAAAAAAGGGCCCCCTGCTACAGGTGGCCCAGGCGGTGTTGGGTTGTCCACGCAACCCCACCACCATCCTGAAGCGCTCGGTTTTCATGGATGGGACGTCAGGGGCCCCAGGGATGAGGTCGGAACTGGGGGAGGACTGTCGGACTCACCATCGAAATTCCCCCAAAATCAAGTGGGTTTGTCTGAAAATAGGGTATATTCCCAATGAAATAGCCATTTAATAGGGATAATGATCATTAACCATTGGGTTTAGGGTACTAACGGCATTGAGATGATTTCGGCAAATCTTCGAGTTTGAATTCACCTTGTTTTTTCTATTTTTCAAATTTTGGTTAAAATAAGCATTTCTTAATTGCAAACAATCATTTCCTAATGACATCTTGGTTTCAAGAGCCACACTTCAAAAAACACAAAGAATTTAAGGGGATACATTCAGCGGGTCGCGGAAACCTTTTCCACAAAATTTGAAGTTCCTATTTCCTTGGCTGGCGGCCGACAGTCTGGGCCCAAATCAAAGGTGTCGTTTTTCAGTTTACGGATAGCCAAGTTGCAGTTGCAAAAACTGAACGGGTTGAAAACACATCCAGTTTTTTGAAAAAATGAAAGTTACATGACTTTTCCGTGTTTCTGAAAATTTGGAAGTCAAACCATGTCAAACCTGATTAGATAAAAATTCTCACATGACACTCAGCGCACAGGTTCCAAACCAGCAAACACAGGCTTGGAGTTAGAGGATTTCATCCAAAACCTGATGTTGTTATCACTCTAGACTACGGGTTGAAGTGATTTTGGCAAAACTTTCAAATAGAATGTCTCTTTTGATACGTGGGATGAAGATTTGGTGCAAGAAACACTGAACAACCTCTACTGCGTTAAAAAACTATGTTTGGTATGTTTGGTGATTTTTCTACAGTGCGTGCATTTCGTCAGACTTATGTATCACGGTCCCTGTATACACCTTCCTCGACCAGAAAACACAAAATGCGGGAATTGGACTTATGGCGGCGTGGAGCCTGTGGGACTTGATTTTGATAGGGTACGTTGCAGATTGGCCACCTCAACCTGAAAAACCCTGCAGTTGAGCCCCCTGTTCTCTGTACAACAAAAGTTTTTGTGTTTTTCACTATCCTTTGCAACGCCTATGATTGAAAAGCATCAATAGCAATTTTGCTGTGCAGTTGCGTTTTCTTTCTTCAAGGTAGCTAGGACTCGGGATTGAAGCAATGTCATGTTCAATTTTGGCTTTTGAACACGCTTGATAATTGGACAACACTTGGCCCCTCAGTTCCAAATCTGCTGGTTGCCCCTGATCCAGCGTCCCGGGGTATCTTCACCTTTCGATACCTACCGTGACCCAAACAAGGTACAGTACAGTAACAATGGGCCGGTTTTCAAAACAAGGAACATGCTTTCTGGAAGAATATCTTGCAATTTTCCCCTTATACAGCAACAACATCTACCACAAAAACCACCCAAGGCTATGGGCAAAAACAATACAGCGGTAAATAGACATTCTGGCCAAACAACCAAAACACGGAATTCGGTTGGGGTGACTAACCAAACATCATCCTGAGACAAACAAACCGGTCACAAAACACTATATATTGGTATTGTGTTTCCTTGATTGAAAAGGTTTCTCTGAACATACTACCTAAGTTGCAAATGCAGGTAACATAAAGACAGGAGCTAGTAAGACTACAGGGCATGCTTTCTTCCTGCTTCAAGGTAGTTCATTGCAAGAAAAAACCGCAGACATGTATGTTTATATGAATGTAAATGATTTTATATTTAGAACATGTAGCTATGCACACAGCTTCTACAACGGTATTTTAATGTGCATGCGTAATCAGTCAAAGTCTAGTGCGACAGCGGAACAAGGTTGAAAAGATCTGTGCACCCAGCAAATCCAGGTGACAATAGGGATACCGCCCAATGAAACACATTTTTTCCAATTTTTCAATATCAATAGCATTCCAACCAAAATTTCTGAAAAGATATCTTGCGACAAACAATGCCATATCAAACCCGCAACAAAAATCTGAAGACATGCAAAACCCAATAGGGGTAAACATGGCATGTGAGGAAGTGTGCATGCTTGAAAATGCGCGACAGCAGGTGCACACACGTGCAGGCTTTCCGGGCTGGAAGCAAAAAACATGTTTTGTTTTTGTTGGGCATCATTTGCTACCTGTTAACAGGTCGATGTCCATGCCCACGATCGTTCTTTTTCATCAACTATACAATTCAATAAATCTTTCTGACATCAATTTTCTGTGCACCTCGTCCTCAGGCTTGTGGAAAACAAACCAGGCATTTGCGCAATCTTCGCAATAGTTCGCACAATGGTTCGCGCAATGTTTCTTACAAGGGTTCGTACAATGGTTCGTACAATGAGAAAAAAGTTCGTACAATGTTCGTACAATGCCCTACTAAAGTTCGTACAATATTGTACAATTTTTTTGGCCATTGTACGAACTGCTTGGCCATTATACGAACTTTTTTGCCATCGTGGCATTTTTGGCCGTTTTTTGAATTTTGTACTGGCAACGTACGAAGACGTAGTCTAAATGTGAAGCTATAACGCCGCGCCAAAAAGACAAACGGAACTGACTGTGCAAACAACCCAAACAGTTCATTTTGTTTGATTCTGTCCTATGCGGCCATACTGACTTTCAAGAAAACACCTGTATTGTTGTCCTGGGTTTGCTGGCCATTGCAAGCGCGCCGTCCTAAGGGCTACTGTACGGGTTGATGCCATTGCGCATCCAAGAGAAGTAGGTGACTAAGCATTGTAAGGAACTTAAACGCAAACATCGTTTTCTTTTGGATATGCAATTTGAGATCATTGACTATGTGCAATTTCCTTGCAAAGGCCACACCTTTTGTTGTGAGGCATTGGCGCGGCTGAAAGTTCAAGAATTGCGACTTTAAATTCTAAAAGTTTTTTTTGCAGAAGTCAATGACTGACAATTCCTCGCATGGCCCGGACTTATTTACATGTCAACGTCGTGAGACTCATGAAGGAACGGTTGGCTACATCCTGGCTACAGGTGTTCGAACCATACCAATTCAAGTATGCTCTGCACAAATGGCACCAGTTTTATGAAAATCATTGATGACAAAGGCATGTTTCGACTGAATGTGCAAAAATTGGTCCGGCTGAGCGCGTATATTGTACAGTTGAAATCATCCTCCGCATGTTTCGCCCAGCAGTTCTGTAGCCGAAACAAGCACACGCAGGAATGTTTGACTGCATGCAGGTACGGGTATGTGTGTACATGATAGACTTACATATGTTTGTATTTGCATGTGATGCGTGTGTGCGTGTATCAGTCTTGAAATTCAGATGCTTTCATCTAATGTCCATGTTCAAGCCCAGTACTCTAGCGATAGAGCAACTTCGAACAGTCTTGTGTAATAAATTTTGTTTATGCGCCACTCTGCGCGTGAAAAGTCATTGAAGAGAAAACCTCCAAGTTCAAGGACGGAGTGGTTTCAAACAGCTCGGTGGGTTACGGGCTGCCGCATGGCAACCCACATAGTTTTTCCAAAATTTCACTTTATTCACCCAGACATGTTCAAACGCAATTTAATTGAGTTTGCACAATCCAACGCTGGAGTTTGGTGCGGGTAAGTGCGAGAAGAGTTTGTTCTTGGAACTCTTCTACAGCCGATTTTGATCCAGCAGTGCCATCCTTGGCTTGGGCTTGAGGTTTTGGGGTTTAAAGCCTCGCGGGTTCTATGTTTTGATGAACGCTTGGCTCCGAGCAAATATTCCAACAAAAATTGTTTTTGTTTTAATTCCAAAGTTTTGATTGTCATTGGAACTTTGGTCCTGTCGTACTTCCGACCAGAGAAACTAGATAATTCATAATCTGAAATCTACTCAACCACGCCAATTTCACACCTGCTATTTTGGATTTGTCCTTGTCCGCCGGATTTTTTTTTTCATCTTGTCAGATCTGACTTCAAATTTTCAAGATGTCAAAGAAAAAATGTTATTCTTCTAGTTTCCAATGATTGGTCCTGAGACTAGTAATCAATATCACCTTGATCAGCCTTCTGCCACAGCAGCTTGGCCATCCTATTTTTTTTTCTTGGCCACATCAGAAAGAAAAAAATATTACGATTTTGACCTCCATCCTGAGCCATTGGGCCGAGCAATGCGAACCAAGATAAACACATAATTCTGACAAAAAATGAGCTGTGTTAAACAATATCGAACCACAACGCATATATGTTTTTTAAAGCTCAGCGGAGGTTGTTCGCTGTTTCTTGCACCGGGTCATCACCCCAAGTAAAGCAACCAAAGAAACGTAACATTTCAGCGCGCATGCTACTTCAAGTCAGCTAGCCAGCCGACAGTCTTGTATATGTACTACGCGGCATGTGTTATTGACGGATTTTTTTTGTGTGGAAAGATGATTTTTGTTGCGGTATAGGCATGATATCTATTGAGACAGTTTGCGCGTTGCGTTTCCCCATGAACTGGCTGAAAAAAAATAACATTTATAGATTATGGACACAAATCAGGATTTTTTCGTTCAAAAAAAAATAATCATCAAAACATTGTTCTGAACAGTTTTTCACCTCGCGCAAACACGCAGTCGTAACCCCAAATCGGCTCAACGCCGTCAGTAGTTTAGGGGTACACTATTTTCAGACACACCCAAGTCATTGGGGTAACTTTGAGTCGCAATTGGGGCGGGGTATTTTCAATTTCGTCATTTGGCTGGAGCTTAAACCGGCTTTTTTTGTGTTGATGATTTGGCTCCGTTTTATCTATTGGTGGCCAACCTCCCACAAAAGGCACTCGAGGGCAGCACTTCGGACGGATGCACAGACTCAGTGATAAGATTCAAGCGACAAAATTCAGCACTGGCAGAAACAATGTGAGCTCAGTGGGATGAGCAATGACAGTTGCCTGTAAAGATAACCAGCATGAAAATGAAAACTAGATCCCGATCATTCGTGAAAAACACTAGATACAGTCGCCTTGAATATATTCCATTTGTGTGGTTTGCCATCAGTGGCCTTAAGCGTAGAATTTCATGGTTCTTTGCTGGTCAAGACATGTATCTGGTATCCGGAACTAGATGGCTGCGGTACTGAAACTTTCAAAATGCTTGGGTTGGGATGTCTTCAACCGACTCATACCCATGTAATTGTTGGTGATGAACCCTATTATTATGTGTATTTAATTTTCGCAATTTCTTATCAGCTAGTTCGAACTGAATTCGACCCATTAAATCAGGGAAGTGATTCTTTTTCAAGGGAAATCAACAAAAAACATACCAGTGGTGCCACCAACCAGCTTTCCCTTCCCCCGAAATTGGATGAAGGGAACATTTCAGGTTGAAACCTTCATTGCCAGAATTTCTGGTGGTAACAATGAAGCCTTCTCTTATTTTTCAATAGTAAAACATAGTAAAACGCAGGTTTCTGGGTTTCCTGAAAGCTTCCCATCCCAAGATATCCCAAGCCTGTACCGTGGCTATTGACATCCCCAATACCAGGCGCCCCCCATCATGGCTACCTTAGGCGCCGAAGCGGCGGTGCTCGAGCACTGAGCCGACCGGTGCTGGAGCCTACGGTGGGGCAGCATAGTGATGGGATAATGGGGATATGGAGGTTACTTAAAGTGAGGGATCCCCAAATCATCCATTTTCATAGGGTTTCCCTCATAAACCATCCATTTTGGGGTAACCACTATTTTAGGAAACCTCTATATCACTTTCGATATTTGAGACTTGCTGAAACTGCACACGTATTTATTAGCCAGCGTGCTTCTCATCGGGTGTACCAATGACATGGGCTTTCCTGCCTGCAGTACACGCTGCAGGGGAGTTGACATTTTGTGGCTGGTTCATTGTGCCAGATAGTGCCTGGTGGAGAACACCTCAGAGCCAGCTTGCTTATTGATTCTGCTTGGTGCTCGTAAATTTGTGGCCTTGAGGACCAACAGGCTTTGAAAGATGAGTACGGCTCAAGATCATTGACCCCAACCGCAACCCCCGAAAATCCTAGGGTTTTCATACTCAAAGTGACCAGCATTTCATTCAAACCCGTGAAATGCTATTAAATGCTATTAAATGCTATTAAATCCCATGAAATTGCATTAAATCCCATTAAACTCTCATGATTTTTTGCAGGTCATTGGGACCCCACTTGTCACTTGTCGCCAAGGATTGGGGACAGCAGCAGCTACAGGGCACCTTGTTTGGTCGTTTTGCACAGGCGGCTGGGTCACCAAACATATCCCACTGGTCATCTTTTTTCGATCAATAATGGTGAATCATTATTATCAATGATATTCAAGGATCACCATTATTAACCACTATATGTTGACTATTATTAACTGGTCATAGCCAAATAAATGGCAGGTTTCAGGTTTTTGGGGGTTCCAAGACATCAATCTGATGGCCTGATGGCCTGATGGCCTGATGGCCTGATGGCCTGACTCGGGCCAGGCGTGCGAGGAAGGTCCCGACTTCGTGCGGGCGCGAAAGGGAGGGCCCAATGTTTTCATTCCGGATGAGTCGGATGGAAACCTGGTGGTTTCTTGGATGGGGCGATGGGAATTTTGATGCTTCAGAAATAGAGGAATCACTAAGTGAAACCCTATGAAACTCTAGCCAAATGAACATTTGGAAAAAGTGAAAGGCACTCGAAAAGAACATGAAAAGTCGGAGGACCGCTGAAAATAGGAAAGAACGCGCATAAAACCATGTTCTGTGGTGGGATCAGTCTCTCCTATCCCCCTGCCTATCTCTGCCTGTCTCTGAGGCTGGAACTCGCACTAGCCGCGAGTTTGGTCACCACGATATGGGCATCCTTAAAGGGAACAAGTGCTCCCGCGGTGAGTGCTCAGAATACAAAACTCATGAAGGCACCGTGGATGGCTCGTTTGAAGGGCAGGCTGTAAGGTAAGGTTGACACAGTTTGGAGATGTTTGGAGTCATGATATCTCGTGATCTCTACTCTATACATGTCCTGTGCACTAGAGCAGTATAAAGTATGTCTTTTCCAGACATCTTGGGGCACAGTTGCAAACTTTGGTGTTTTGATGTGTTTTGTGTGTTTAGCTTCGCTTGGAAGGCCATATTTGTTACCTTTGTATATGTTTTCCTTGCAAGGACTTAGCTGTGCTTGGATGCGGGATCTATTAAGAACTGAGCAGTTCCACACACACACACACATGTTTGGATATATAGCAAGTCCTTTTGAAATGGGAGGAACTAAAATTTGGCATTCCAGAACCAGCCATCAACTGTCAATAAACGCTCTTTCCACACATCTCAAAGGACAATCATCCTGGAGTTTGGGATTTATGGGAACCCTGTCGACTTTCCCAACTCACAATTTTTACGGGTTTCTTTCTTGGCTTGTGTCACTTCTGTTGTCCCAACTCACGACGAAGACGGCAGCGCAGGGGTTTCATCTGGAGCACCTGCACAAGATCATTTCACCTTCCAAAACACCAAAGAGATCACAGATTTGGAGTTTCCGCTCGGAAAGAAGGTGCGGCAAGCGGCAAGCCGCGAGCAGCGAACTGACCATTTAAAACTGGTGGGCTTTGCAGTCATGACATTTTGTCGGCCTGTATAGGTTGAACAACAATTTGCAGTGAAAATTCATGAAATTCCAGGCTGTTGGATTTGCCAAGTCCAGCGTAATTAGATATCTCTTGTCTCTTGACATTTTTGAGATTCCCGGAACCATCGCAGCCAGGTCTTCCCAGAATTTCACTGATGTCAATGCTTGCCATGTCCTGTGTCACCTTCATTTTCATAGGCTCCTAGGGGGAACAGCAACCGTCCCGCATCTGTTTGTGACTTCTGAAATAGTCACAGCTGCTTTTTTTCTGAGCTGGTTGGTGGTTTCATTTGCGGTACACGCATGAGTTAATGGGTTGAGGCTTCACACGGAATGCGCACTCAAAGTGCCCAGATTCCCGCACTGCCATAAACGTGAGCTGCAATCATGATGTGGAAGGCAACCAAACAAAGGTGGTTGGAAGCAACAAAGAGCCTCGGAAATGAACTGGGTGGTTCTCAATCATTAGGGGCCCAACAAATTTCATGAGAAATCAACTGTTCCGAATCATAAACAATCCAATTGTAGGATTGCCAAGTTTGAGAAACACCCAGACAATTTCTATTTCCTTTGTGATCCTATGTATATTTGCCACGTTCTTCCATTGTGTTTCAGTCACTTTTTGGTTGGAGCCAAACTGACCAAGCTGCAGCGCACGTGCTGTTTCCAAGAGTTTTTTTCAGCTTCCCCGCCTGAGGCGGGTGAGCAACGTGTTGTCTCTGTTGCTTCATTTGAGTTGTTAGGCTGGAGGATAAAAAATCCTGTTGTTGAAAGGACTTTTTTGATGCTCTGAGGAGAGCTGCATTTTTTGGGTGGTGCAACATGGTTTCACCATGTAAAACCGCTTCTTTTCGAAGGACATACCCCTTAAACCAGACCATCGTGTTGCGGTGCCAGCAGTGATGCTTTCACGGTCCTTGGCATCTGCTTGACAGCAGCTTCAATCGGAGATGTGATGTTGGAACAGGATCAAATATATCAAATTGCCAGCCTGAAATTAAACATCTCCATGTGGGCTTGGATGATAGCCTTCTCAGTACATATGACATGATATGTCAGTGTTTTGGTCTCCAATGTTGATATTTGTTTGAGCGAGGTGCATCAAATGCGTTTCTTGATGCAGCTTAGAGCAGAAGCTTTTACCAACGGAATTGCGATTTTAGGGCCCACCCTGAAAACTGCACCATGGAGGGAAGTGCTCAAAGCCGACGGGCCATGACATCCCCTCGCAGCCTGCATTGGGAGAAGAGATACTTGGAAGAGACCTTTGATCTGTGCCCTGATTGCAAGCAGTGTCACGGATGCTGGGTCCTGGTTGTCAGTTGCACATGCATTTTGGCGCTTTCAACACCAGAAACGTCCCGACTTATTTCTTCCCCTTCAAATGGGATGATTTTCCCAAAGATGCAACCAAAATGGGATTAAACATAAAACCACCAGACATGATCGGATCATCCCCGCCAATTGTCCCCCAAATTCCAAGCGCACAAAATTCGATCCAAAATGATCTTAACGACGCAACTACCCAAACATTGAATGATTCATGCAAATTATCTCAAGTATTAACATGAAATGAACCTCAATCATCCACAATCAAAATCAACATGAAATGAACCACGATCATCCCCAGCTCTGATTTTAGCTGCAGCTCTCCACTCATCTCCAGTTTTGAGGCCCTCCGAGAGTGCCTGCAGCTTCGATAGTGAGGCGGTGAAAACTCTCAGCCCTGCTTCGGGGAAGGAGACGTTGAAACACCGAGACATAGTTGGGGGATTCAAGTGAAATCGTTTGGGGCAAAGTGACAGGGACATCAGCAAGAAGATTGACTTCGAAAACGGGAGCTTTTGATCAACAACTGTTTGGGGTCCGATATTTCTGACCTTTGGGATCGCCATCCCGCCTGTTGCAGGAGACACAAGTGCCACCGGGCCAACCAAAGGGGGGCGACGGCGATGGCACAGCCAACTGCCTGGCCTCCACAGCCGCTGCCAGTGACTGCTCCCCAGTGCACATGTCGTCTACCCTGGACACCGATGTCAGGGAGAAGAGTCGCTCAGCTGAAAATTTAAACAAGGTACCTGGGGGTGCAGTTGGGTACCATGGTAAGTTCATGTAAGTTCACCTCCATAAGCTGGGATAGTAGAACCTCTAACTATGGCAAAACATGTCCACTCATAACTGGAACTGCAACGCAAAAGGCTTGAAATATACAACTAACAGGCCTGTTTAGCCTGTTTTGAAAATGGTGGCTTCTCAGTCTTGGGTTCTCCATTCCCAGGTCGGTTTGGTTTACATTTGGATGTAGAAGGGAGAGTCATGGCTTGGGAACCCCCTATTCTTGAATCACAGCTCCAATTCTGTCCTGGCGATCAAGGTCGTTGGGAACAGCCAGCTGATGTGAGACAAGCAGCCCTGAACTTCAGCACGGCGCTCCAAAGTGCACCTGCCAGGCTCGGGGTGGTGGGGAGGGAACTGGTCAGAAGGGTGAAACCACCGATTTTGAATAGATTTCGGTATGGGTCAAGCACGATGATGTGAACCACCGAGTTGGGTCATTTTTGGGAGATGGCATGACCCCCAGTTTTTCAGATTGTCATCCAGCGCTGAGGCAGTTCCCAGCGCTGTGGACTCTACCCCAAGAGAAGCCCGAGGTACGACTGGGATCAGAGATCTGTGGGGTGCTGGTTGGTTGATATCCGTCCCATCACATACTGCAGCGGCGGCACTTCCCTAGGGCCTGAAGAAATTCGGTCGGCAGTTTCAGATATGTTTCGCTTTTTCATCTGTGGCCGGCATCATTGGTGGCCCAATTGAGGAGCAATATTTGGTGCCTGCAAACAACCCGCCGGTATTTGCCAGAAACCATCAATAATATAGATATAGAGTTTGCGGCCTGATCGTTGTCATGCATGCGGTAACCCACAAATTATGTAATTACCGTTATATATATATATAATTACCCAACCATATTTCTTGGTTGAGATGCCACAGCAAATTGTCGATTTCGATTTGTCGTCTAGTGATTACTGTTTGCGCACATGGTAAAATCGGGCACTGAGGCCGGCTTCGGTGTGAAGGCAGAGCGTTTGGTCCAGGAACAGGCAGGATTTGTCCGAAAAGTGGAGCAGGAGAGGTGTGGTGCACAGGTCGAAATGAACATTTTCAGTGGACGGGGTAGTTCAGTAGCAATTTTTCTGCTGCTGGGTATGGGTCAAATTCAATCAAACTTCAGAGAATTATTATATAATTGAAATCAAATTTGGATGCGCTCAACACAAAAGTCAATCAACATCTATATATGCATTTGCCGGGTTAAATCTGGGTATGCCATTGCAGGAGTTAAAGCGGTTTGGGCAGACGCTGGACCAACACAGCTGCTTCCAGCAGGACTCGCCCGGGAGGGACCACGGAAAATCTGGGATTGGATATACCAAAAGCTTGAAGGCCGTAGGGGGTACCATAAAACCCTCCAAGAATAGCCAGCATGAGAAAGTGCAACATCCCAAGATCAGCCAGTTGATTTTCGTTTGGCTTTGGTCCAGGCCTTAAAAAAGCAACTTGAGGATCAAGGACGCGTGCGGGGCTCAAGAGACCTCACCTTGGGGTGTTGATGTACCAGCAGGGATCACTCACATATTTATTGGGGGATTCTCCCTATATTATGATATCAATCATTAGAGACTACAAATACACCAATAATACATAACAATACTATCCAATATACTGTTTAATTATCAGAATCCATGATGGGAAATCCTCTCCTTTTTTTGGGGACAGTTCAACCCAGGTGTGGCTGAAAGAAGCTCAGAATTTGTCTCACGACTTGCAAGAGCTTCGTGGGCAGCTGGCACAAACCATGGAGGCATGACTCTGGAAGATCAAGCTGTGGGGCGGATCCTCAATAGAGGTTTATTATTGGGTATACCATGGTATACCTCTATGACTGGGATGGTTTATGGCATTGGGTATAACGGTATAACACTTTTTTTCAATCAACCATCCCGATTTTGCCAGAAATGTGTCAGATTGAAACCATCCAATATTGGTTTTGTGCTGGTTTACCACATTACCCTCTAAAAATGGATGGTTTACCATGACCAGTGTCCAACATTGATGGCTTTGCGGGATAATTTTGTCGCCCAAAGCTATGACATGGTGTTGTTGATTGCAGCACCACTGGAAGTGCAAGGTGAAGTCCCATTAAAGAAGGAATTTATTGGAAGCCCCCCTCAGTTTTTCAATGCAAAAGGAAATGAAGGAAGAAACCAGGGTTTCTGGTCCATTTTCAGCCTACATAAACCTGACCAATGATGAAGTCGAGCAAAAGCCGAGCTTGTGCTCCACAGTTGCAGGCGGCCTTGTGGTCAGGGAAGGAGGTGACTGCCGTGCGCAAGGACCCTGAATATTGAATCAATAGCAATGGAACCATCGACCATCGGAAAGCCGGGATGAACATCATTTTTGCAACTGTAGCAGCTATTTTAATGTGAACAGCAGGGTACCATGCTTTTGATCACCCAGGAATAGGAGCTGAGCTGATGATATTTCATAATGACTCTTTTGATGGCTTGTGATGATCTGTCGCAGACATTCGCAGACCATAGGCTCAGGCTCAGATTTCGCACTGCATCAAAATTTGCTGCCCAGTTCCAGATGGCCTTGTTTGGGGGCCCGAAGCCCAAAAGGGACTCTGTCATTGGAAACATGGAGACGCAGATCAACAGTGTCTGGGACGTGTCACCGAAACTCCTTTTTTTCTCCGACATGGGATGGTCCAAGCTCAACTCTACTTAGACCTCCTTCCTTACGAGTTTAAGTTTGATTTTTCTTGGAAACTCTTTCTGTATATCGAGATAAGAAGAGGTTACTGAACCGTTCTTGACGGGTTTACGCGGCCCCACTTGAGGTGTGTGCCAGAGACACAATCCCAACTACAAGGCTCTCTTCGTGTCATGGAACGACAATCAACGGCAACAGGGCAGCTGCTGGGGCAGCAACATCACTGATGCGCGACTCAAAGGCAAAGATGGAGAGGATTTTCTCGCAACTTGATCAGTTTCCAGATGGGTCGGTGGACCCCCAAACCCCAATGGCCCAATGGCCCAATGGGACTGGCTCAGGAAATTGGGAAATCCGTCCAGGACTCCTGTAGGTTCGTGCGTGAATTTTTTTTTGCCCAAGCCCTGGAAACCTGGAAACCATCCATTATTGTCCAAGGACAATTTTCAATACCTTAGGGAGAATTGAAGAAACTGTATCACCGCGACATAATTAGCTGGTGAAACATCCACAGTGCAACGATTGTCCCTGACATATGTGAGGAATTACAATATTATTGAATAATAATTACAACTGTGTCTACAAGAATAAATAGCTGGGAGTAGCTGGGAGCAGCTGCGAGTTGGGGAATTTATGGGTTTGTAACACCCAACTTACAAGTAGAAAGGTCGGCTCGGTTTCTCAGGTCGTTAGGTCCCAGAACTTCAATGAGCGCATTGGACGCGTCAGGGCTGCGGATGTGGCCCTGTTGGTGGGTGAGGGCACATCTTTGGAGCCGATTACCTTGGAAAGCTGGCTGATGTTGGTGGTCAACTGATCAACGGTTTGCAGATAGTCGTACTATGGAAGAACGGTAGAAATTACAACTTGCAAACTAGAATTGAGGGGGCGTGTTTGTGGGAGTGCTCTTGGCGTTTCGTTGTTACTTTCCATCTGCCTACTTGGGGTGATGACCTAAGACTGAGCATTTTTTTGGGCGGCGTGGTGGCTCAAAGTCCAACAAGGAACAGTATTTAACCGACTTCTGGAAACATGGCAGCTATGCCGGTTCCATCCCTGCCAATACCTCTTTGTTGTCTGTCCGGGACAAGAGCGTGGGCATGCGCTTTCAGGCAGTTTTTCTGCCTGTTGACAAAGGGCAGTTGTTTGGGAAAGGAGTGAAGGAGTTCTACCCGGATACCTACAACTACCAGACCAGGAGACGACTGGTGGTTTCAAGTACAATGGAGGGGCCCTGGCCACTGAATAAACACATTGGAGCCCATGAATAAGCAAATACATACATACGTACGTACGTACGTACGTACATACATGCATACATACATGCATCAGTACATCACATCACATCGCATAGCATCGCATCACATCACATTACATACACAAATTGATCAAAAGAGATATTATATAATTATATACATAATTTATAGATTAGTGATATTTAGTGCTGTTGCTTCTTGAGGCACATGATATACAGTAGCTGTTACCTAGGTCATATGACTAACAGTGAACTTTGGGAAGTAAAACAACAAAGCACGGGGCGATCTTCAACCAATTCTGAGGTTCGTAGTTTCTTATTACTAGTTCTGATTTTTGTGGTAAAATTCAATCACAACACCCAAAGATATTGTTTCGTCATAGCTATAGTAACTATAATGAGAATTCATCACCTATTTCCATCGAGATTTCCATGGTTTGATCCCATGGTTTCCCATGTGAGGAGCTGGGATGATCCCAAAAATCTCATCCTGTTGTGCACCTCCCAGGGCACTTTCGTACAGCAGGATGGCCCTGGGAGTGTGCCGCAGTTCCTGCATCAGCGCGACGCCGGAAACCACTAGTGGCGGAAGAAGTACTTGGAGGCTGCGAAATGATGCGAAAGTACCACGGGGTGTCTACGCTGATGTAAAGGAACTGGAAATCATTTACGTATGGACTGAATGGATGCTGGATCAACATCAATGACTACAGTATATATTTACCAACCATTTTGATGTGGACAAAAGGTGAACATATTTTGATCTGTCGCTAAATTGTGACTGGCTTTTGGCGAGGTGTGGCCATGGCCATGTGTGACCGTCATTTTTTGCAGTTTTGGCACACTTGAGTTCTTTAAAACAAAGACAGGGATGGGCCTCCTTTGTTTGAATCGATTGCTCTTGGACTGAGACCTTTTCTCCCCTGTCATGTGGGCAGGCAATGATGACCCACCATGGCGTGAGCATGGGTCAGACTGAGACCGAAGCAGAGCGGGAAGCTGCATTGAAGCAGGGCAAGGTGGGGTTCTCTATGGTGGTTTGTCAAACTTTTCAAAAATTGCTACGAGCCCTCAAACATAGTCTGTGAATGTGGGATATCCACAATTGTTTGCACTTTAGCTATTAACTGAGCATTTTGTTTCTCTCCTATGTTCGAAGTTAATATTTTTTTTTGCCGATGTGGGGGACAGATAGCCAACCGACCCCAATTGAGGCCGTGTCGACCGTGATTGGTACCCGTGCCATGGGCACTGGCTTCAATCGCCTCATGACCATCCAGGTCCCTATGAAGCAGCACACTGTGAGGCCCATGACAACAAGCCCCTTTATTGGGCTTACAATGGGTGGTATGGATGCCAATGGTACCACAGGTAGTGGCTTCGGACCTCCTGCTGGCGTTGGTTTCCCAAAAGCTGTTCCTATGTGCGCCTTTGGCGCCGCCGCGCCGCAAGCCCAAGCGATGCCGATGGGGGCATCTGGATTTGCTGCACCAGGAGGGGTCAACGCGTCATCTGCGCACATTGAAAGCGAGTCATCTGCGCACATTGCAAACGAGTCATCCGCGCACAGAGAAACCGCGTCATCCGCGCACAAAGAGCGGTCATCCGCGCACATTGATGCTGGGAACCAGCCATTTCGGGTTTGGTTGGGGTGGGGGGGTGGGGTGGGATGATAACGTTCATGTTCCTATGCACACACCGGCACAGCAACCTCATCATCTTTCTTCCCGTAGAGCAGAGACAGGCACAGCTCTTTCATGATCAGTTACCGGTGGGGTGGGGTGAGTTAATAAGGTTCATGTTCCTATGCCTGCACACGCACAGCAGCCTCATCATCTTTCTTGCTGTAGAGCACTTACACTTATGAGATGAGAGGAGTTGTGTGAAATGAGTTGTGTTAGTTGTGAGATGAGCAGAAATACGTGAGATGAGTTGTGTGAGTTGTGAGATGAGTGGAGTAGTGTGAGATGAGTTGTGTGAGTTGTGAGATGAGTTGTGTGAAAGAACTTGGGTGAAGTTCAGTGAGAGAACACGAAGCAGCTCCACCAAATGCCACACGAAAGCAGCTCTTGAGAGAGTTGAGTTGTGTGAGATGAGTTGAGTGAGATGAGTTGTGTGAGATGAGTTGTGTGACTTGTGAGATGAGAGGAGTTGTGTGAGATGAAATGTGTGCATTGTGTGAGACAACTTGAGTGAAGTTGAGAGAGAAAGAAGCAACTCAGGAGGAGAAGGAGGAGAAGGCAAGGAATACAAACCTAAAAACAAAAACCCCACACAGAGATGTGAGGGAAAAAACCATAACTTGATGAGTCGTGTGATGATGTTTAAAAAAAAGCTAGAAGAAGAATCATGTTACAGAGATACAATGACAAAAACACACAACAAAAACGTGCACAGACGACCAACCGTCTGACGTGCACAGACGACCCACTCTTGACGTGCACAGACGAACCCCGAACCCCAGGAGGTGCGGGTACCGCTGCCTGTGACGACCTCTTTGCGGGTTTGGGGACTGCAAAGGCCGAGGATTTTCAAAGTGGCGTTGCCAAAATATCCAAAATTTTGGATCCCTCCAACTGCCAGAATTTTGGCTGGCTGGTGATCTTGGGGAATTGTTTGAAGTCCTTCCTTCGCTGACAGGTTGCAGCAACTGGGCTCTTTGGAGGCTACGGCCATCAGAGAACATCCGCCGCGCACGCGGCGCGCGTCTCCATCGGCTCCGATGCTGGGGCCATGGACATGCTGAGAATGACCACCTTCGAACGGGACTCGGAATGCTCGGTAACCATCACAGTGCAGTTCTACTTTGTTGTTGAACAAGGACACATGGCTTAATGACCGACTTTCATAGTAACCCCCAAAAAGGTAGGACAGGACAATCCAGCTAAATTTGTGGTGTTTTATTCTATCTTTTGGAGGTCACTAATGTCACTACATAACAATTTCCCTTTCTTTATGGAGGTCGCAACATAGCAGGAACCCTGCAGGATGTGCCATTGCAGAAGCAGATATCAAGCGTGCCATTGATGTCTGTGAGGAAGCCTACAAAGGATGCAGCTGGGATGGCAATCTGATGGATGTTAGCATGTCCTCCGCCTTTGCCAAGAAAGACATGAGCTTGGAAGATGCCCTGAAGATCAAGGGCCCAAGCCCTCCAGTTGATCCCACCTTGACCTTCCCGGGTTCAGCTCCAGGTTGGTGGCTGTCCAACCCTCAGACATGCACCTAACGATACACCTAAACCCCCGTTCAACAATCAAAAGGTGCTATTAAACCCCCTTTCAGACTGTGGAACATATGTTAGACCCTTGGTTCTATCGAATCAGTTGAAGTCCCAATTTTTTCCTCAAAATCCGTCCTTATCAATGGTTTTTTTCGGAAGCATTCAGCAACAAAAAACCAAAAGTGATACACCTCCTCAGTCCGGCGACCAGTCAATGGTTGCTGGACCTGCCCCCATCCAGGTCCACTAGGTCCATTGACTTGGCCTTCGCCGCCCAGCGTGCCTTTTGCCTCGGCTTCCTTTGATCCTTTGGACGGCTTGGAACCTGAACTGAAGATGCAGGTGGCGAAGGTTCCCCTCCAGCAGGAGGGGATGGGGGGCGAAAGATCCTTGTGGAAAAACAGAATATTTTGGTGAGAGATGTTTTTTGGTGATTGATGTCATTTAAGTTGGCCAATTTTAAGATCCAAGAGACAATGACAATTCCATGCAAGCAGTTGAGGGCTTGTTGGTAGGAACTGAAACTGAACGATGCCTCCAGACCCTGGGCTAGCGGCTAGAACAGGTTTCCAACCTGGAGGTTGCAGTTGAAACAGATCTTAAAGGTCTGAAATAGACCTTTTTCCGGAAATAGAGTCGACGCAACGATTCAAAAGGCTATCTCCAAAATCATCCAATATGCGCATTTTGCTGTGCGAGCCTGCCTAAAGAATTGGTCGAAGCTTGCGCAGGAAGGATACAACTTTCTGCACAGCACCGCCTTGAGCTTGCTGGACAAGTGCACGCAGCTGGATACGGCTTTCCACCTCTTCAGACTGTCGAGTGACTTGCATATGCAGTTGCACGGAACTCCAGATCCCACCTCCCTGTACAACATGGCCTGCTGTCTGGCGGTGGCTGTGCGTGTGCAAATTGAAAGATATCAGAGCCATTTTCCTGGCACTCTGTCTCTGGGGGGCTGTACAGTGAGCCCCGTGTCAGCAGGCGCGGAAGTGATGGTGATCAGCGGCTGGCACATCAGATGGTACAAGTAGTCGTAATCTTGGTGTTGTTAGTGATGTATGCTATCTTCTAGCAATCCTGTGAAGATCATTGTCGGGATCCCCCCATCCAGTTCTTAGCAAAGGGATGTCCAGACACATAAGTCACTGGTCCATCTCACGCAGCAATTCCGGCGCTAGATGGATGTAACGTGTAGCTGATAGATTGTCTTCCCAACACCCAACATCCCCAAATCTGTTTTCACCACACATTTTCCCAATGTTTCCCAATTGTTTCATATTATTTCACATTCATATGTTTTTTTTTGGGCTTGCATCATTTGGTTTTCTCCATCCCTTCACCCTTTCACATCCGCCGATCTTTTCGATGGGATCTTCCCACCCCCAGGTGGAGTAGTCGGTCCCAAGATGCAGCCCTCGAGTGCCTTTACCACGGCGGCCTTGTGCGAGGCGCGTTTGGACGCTGCCATCAATCTGCTGGCTGCAGCCATTGGGGCGGGATGGCGACAGCATTCGCATCTGGCCACCGAAGCTTGGTTCCCTAAGCTCGTTTTTTTTTGGGAAATCAATAAGAACATATAAAGAAATCCATAGACATGTAGAAAATCCACCATTTTCCCCAAATTAGCAAGTTTTGAAGGCAACACTTTACCTGTTTTCTAAAACTATGATCTTTGCTCTTCCTTGGCGGCAAAACATGCGCCAAAATTGGCCACGTAGTCCAGGTGATGGCTGGGAAAGGCATAATCCAGATTGCACTCAGAAGATTCATCCCATTTTGCGAGTGAAATTGGAACCACGATTTGTGGCACATGGCCATGGCTAAAAATTATTGTCCCAGGATCCTGACCTCTCAGCTTTGGCCGAGCTTCGGAAGCCGCGCTTTGAAGCATTGGTTCAGCTTTCCAAGAGCATCTCCTTCTAAGGCGTCCCGACGCCTCGCAAACGCGAGGCCGGCGCGAGCGCGGGACCGCGCCAGTTTGTGTTGGCTGCCTCTTGGAGGTTGTACAGTTGCCAGAGTTCTGCAGAGATGAAAATGATGGTTGTGCAGTTCTTGTGAATTGTTGTGAAGCCATGTTGAGCCCTGCAGGTTTGTCTCCAAGTCCTGTGGCGGATTGTTCGCATTAGGTGCTGCCTAAAGTGTCTGGTAACTGTAGAAGTGGCCACTGCGACGAGCCCTTTTTGGGTTCAAGTTCGAGACCCATCTAAGCTTTGGTCATGGTGGCCTATCTCATAATTGCCCTGTTTGGTGCTCATGCTGCACTGGGAGATGATTCCATCAGGCCGGGTTGGGATGTGATAGGAGCGACCCTGGGACTTATGTCTTGAATTGCAGGAAGCGCCGGGCACTTTACTGTATCCTCTGGTGCCTCTAAACATCTTCATATCTCCTCGAACCTTGAGTGTGATGTGAGTGATGTGCAAGACTTACTTCGGGGTATGCTTGGAACGCAGTTGAACACAGTATACCAGTAGTACCGCACAAGGCGGTGGCGGAAGTTTCAAAAATGAAAAACCTATAGGAGAGGTGCGTTGCTGTGGCGCAAAAATGGCAGAGCGAACCCACTGATGGATTGAAAGGTGGTTGAGTGTTTCTCCCTTTCTGTCTCTCTTTCTCTCTTTCTCTCTGTCTCTCTCTTTCGCCATCTATCTACAGAGTTACCTTTCTAGCCATCTACCTATCTACCTGTCTATTCATGTAGCTATCGTTCGATTTGTTTATTCACCTAACTATTAAACTTTCCATCTTTCTGTCTATCCAGCCATGCATCCATCCACTTACTTCTCTCTGTTAGTTTTTTTTTTTCCGTCCATCTCTTCATCCATGTCCACAGGTATCCATCACCATGTTCTTCTCTCGTCTAATCTTTCTCTCCTCTCTGCCTCTGCCCTGCTTTCCTTATTATCTGTCCATATTTGGTGAAGTGTAGTGGAGTGTAATTTAGTGTATTGGAATGTAGTGGGGTGTAGTTGTGTAGTTGTGTGGTTGTAGTTGTAGTTGTGGTCTAGTGGAGTGTAGTCAGTGTAATGTAGTGAAGTATAGTGGAAGGTAGTGTAATGTAGTGTAATGTAGTGTAGTTTAGTGGAATGTAGTGTTCTGTAATGCAGTGTAGTGTAGTGTAGTGTAATTTAGTGTATGTCTGTCTATCTATCTATCTATCTATCTACCTATCTATCTATCTATCTATCTATCTATCTATCCATCTATCCATCTATCCATCTATCCATCTATCCATCTATCCATCTATCCATCTATCCATCTATCCATCTATCCATCTATCCATCTATCCATCTATCCATCTATCCAGCTATCCAGCTATCTAGCTATCTATCTATCTAGCTTAACACGGAAATGTAGTGTAGTTTAGTGTAGTGAAGGCATCTCAACATCCAAAAGTGGTCCGAGCATGGTGTGCTTTGTGCATTTTCACTTGGAAATGTGCTTCGCGCCACAACGGCGTGCACTTTTTCGCAAACTCAACTTCCAAAAGTGGTCCGAGACCGTCAGTTTTTAACACTTTTGACTTCCAACGGCGTTGACTTTTTCGACAACTCAACTTCCAAAAGTGGTCCGAGCATGGTGTGTTTTGTACATTTTGACTTGGAAATGTGCTTCGCGCCACAACGGCGTGCACTTTTTCGCAAAAGTGGTCCGAGCATGGTGTGTTTTGTACATTTTCACTTTGAAATGTGCTTCGCGCCACAACGGCGTGCACTTTTTCGACATCTCAACTTCCAAAAGTGGTCCGAGGTGTTTTGTGCATTTTGACTTGGAAATGTGCTTCGCGCCACAACGGCGTGCAATTTTTCATCTCTCATCTGGCCAGCTGCCTCCGCACCCGCCACAAAACCACGAAAAAACACAGTGAATCGCAACCTTTCCTACCTTTTCGCGCACCTGCATCTTCTTTCTTCTGATCTTTTCTCCTCTGACTCTTCTCCCTGCTGACTGCTTTTTCATCTCTCCATATTGTCGGAAGTTTGACTTCCAAACTTCCTTCGATCAGATGGATTCAGATGGTCTGACGTGGGGCCAGCGCATCGGCCATGCAGCTTCAGGGGCGAGGCAGCACCTTTGGCTTTGTGGGCCAGCATCCGTGAGAACCGAACGGCAGTGAAGCCGCTCTATGCTTCAATGGCTGGACACGACCCTGCCTCAGGGAAGAACTGGACTTCCAAGCCGAAGCAGCAAGTGAAGCTGAGTTTGAACAAAATGTGTGCTAGAGAGCCATATCTTCATGTTGTTTTCATTTAGATATGATATATTATGATTAAATATTATATATATGTAGAATTAGACATACATATATATATATATATCTATATCTATAATTATAATTATATATATATATGTATATGTATAGATATATAGATATCATGTATTTTCCATTTTTAGCCACCTTTGGGATCATCCCACCTGACCACAACAGTACTTTCTTTTTTTGGGTTGTTCACCTCAGGAACGCTTGGAACAAGACGATGCAGCACACCTATCACACCTACATTCCATCGAGCTATCAAAAATTGCCCTCCAAAGCGGCCGACATCCGAGCGTCCTCGGCAGCCTCCAGTGATGAGCAAAAATTCACGGGCTACAGCTCCCAGCAGCCTGGGACTGGTTTCAGAGCTACCCCAAAATGTGTATCCTCTGGATCCTATCCTATCCTATCCTATCCTATCCTAACTATTTTGTCGACCCTATCTATCCAATCTATCGAATCTGTCGAATCTGTCGAATCTATCTATCTGTCGATCGATCGATCTATCTATCTACCTACTCCTATCCAATCTATCCTACTCTACTCTAAGTTTATCTAATATTCTGTTTTTTGATTATCTAATCTAATCTAGCTATCTAGGCATATGTTTACCGATTTCTACATTCATCTGTTTTTCTTTTTACCAAATGAAGTTTAGTTAGAAAACTTCCGAGTTACGGACGATGGTCATGGTTGGCATTCACACCATCATGTCAACCACATCATCGTGCCAACCACCCATCATCAAGTAGTTGGGAAGTGTAACAGTTCGGAGGCGTGTGAATTCACGGGTGAAAACACTATCGGGCGCGAAACCCTGTGTTTTTCAGGAAATGTGGCTCCAAGGGTCGCTGAAATAGAGTCCCAGTTTCGATCTCGGAAAGTTGTCGACAAAAAGCGCACAGGACTGTAGCGAGAGCTGGGCTGCTCTTCAAAATGTCAAACAAACTGACGCGTTCGGACCGTCGGAGCACTTTTGGAAGATCAGTTCGGGAAAATGTGCACCAGACTGTAGCGAGAGCGTTCGGGGCACTCTTGGAAGATGAGGTCGGCAAAATGTGCATGGGACTGTAGGTGAGAGCTCGATTTGGCATAAAAATCGTGAAAGAAACGCCATTCTCGGAGTAGCGCGGAATCGTCCCCACTGTCAGGGCTGCGCGAATGTTGGTCGATTTGGTCTGACGCTCCTGCTTTACGGGCTTGCAACCGGCTGTGACAAAACGCATTGGCACGGCTAAGCGCAGCAAAGCATGAGTGATGCTGCGACCCTTCTGGCAAGTGGTTGTGGCAAGTGGGCTTGCAGCTGGAGGTTGCCAAACACAATGTAACAGCTGCGCGGAAGGTAGTTCTTGACCATAGTGCTACTTTTGTGCTATAGCGGGATTGCAGCTGGAGGTTGCTAAACGCATCGTAATAGCTGCGGGAATTCATAGCTGGGGGCAGCTCAGAGCAGGGTCAGGCTGCTCAGAGAAGAAGTAGCTGAGAGAAGAGGTGCCTCAGCGAAGAGGTCGCTCAGTGAAGAACTAGCTCAACAAAGAAAATAGAGAAAAGAAGCTCGCCCGGCTCGCACGGCTCGCCCATGCGTGGATCCCTTCATTCTTTGGTTCATTGATTCATTGTTTCATAGGTTCATGGATTCACGGACTCACTGATTCATAGGTTCGTAGGTTCATAGGTTCATTGATTCATTGATTCAATGGTTCACTGAATCAGTGATTCATTGGTTCATTGATTCAATGAGTCATTGAGTCATCGACTCACTAGTTCACTTGTGCATTGATTCATTGATTCATTGACTGACTGAATCACCGATTCACTGAGTCATTGATGCACTGATTCATTGAGTCTTTGATTCACTGATTCATCGATCCATGGGTTCACTGTTTGGTTGAATCATTGAGTCATTGCGTTGTTGCTTCATTGATTCATTGATTCGCTGATTCATTGATTCATTGGTTCATCGACTCATTGGTTCAGTCACTCAGTTGTGCACGAATTCGTTCCTGTCATTCATTGGCATCTCAACCATATTTGCTCATCATTCGTTGATGCACCTCACAACTTCAAGCGCTCATGGCTTCTGTATCTCAAAAACGTTCCTGTAGGCCATTGATTTCTTATAGTCATCTCCTATTTTCGAAACTTCCGCTCTGGCGCGGGCCGGGCACTATCTAGTATTCATCTATTCAATTTTATCGATGTACCATCTATCCATGGACCTTTATCTACTAAATCTAATCTAATCTAATCCAATCCAATCTGATCTAATCTAATCACCTAACATAATCTAACCTAACACAACCTGATCTAATCTAATCTAATCTAGCCTAATCTAATCTAACTATCCTACCCGAAAGAAGGATGAGGGTTTCGATTCTCCGTCCAAAATGGGAATCCCGGACCGACCCCAGGTATGGTGGACTGGCGAAGATTGCCATGCGCGGTGCCAAAAATGACTTTCATCAGCGAAGCCGCACATCAACTGGAGCCATGTCTGACATTCCTGAGATGCACGAATACGCAGACAGGTGCGGGAAAACACCAGAGTTTGGGTGCGAAATAACTGCTCAAATTTGATGATTGGATGTGGTATGATGTGGTATTTTTTTGGTTTTTGGTTTGTTAGAGCCCCATTGCTGCTGGGAATCACACGTTTTATGTGTTCACAGTTCAGGTTCCAAAGTCTTGCTGGATCATAGAGGTTCGCATCATGATTCACATCATCAGCCAGTAAATAAATAAATAAATAAATATATATATATATATCCCAATCTAGTGTTCTCCTGTTTTCAGTCCCAATTGTAATCTTTTGTTTCCTCTAGCAGTAGCACAATCTCTGTTTCCCATTAAATGCATGTTTTCTCGAACCCGTTCAGGTATTCTTCAAGGCAAAGTTCCCATGATACTGACTACAAAACTTACTTGAAAGACTATGCAGGGAACGAGAAGGGCCAAGACGGTGAGAAGTACATGAAAGCTTCCGGTTCCACCGGTTCTTCCGTCCCAGATTACCAGCACTTTGCCGGTTCTTCGTACGCGTCTGGAGATCAAGGCAAAAGCGATCAGAAGAAACCCTACCAGAAGTATATGCGTGGCAGATCAAGCTGGGATGAGCAGTATGGGTGGCTTGAGATGAGCAGAATGTCAGTTGGGTCTGTTGAATGTACTCAGGGAGTTTGAGTTGGCCAATTGCATCGGTAGCTGCATGGATCATCCCACTTCCCAAGTCACATTTTCTTGGGACCCCCCTGGTTTTTTTTGGGTCCCCATAAATTCATGACCCATGGGATACCATGATCGAGGCACAGCTCTGGTTGGAAGACGCAGCTCTCTGGTGTAGTGCCATCCTTTGTGCCTCGCTTTGTTGCTGACCCCGGAGCCCAAGCCCTTGGGTGTCTCGACGCGGAGCCCAAGAGTTCCGGTGGAGAAGCCCTTTTGGTGTGATGAAATTGGGATAGAACAAGACAGTAGGAATGTGGGATGAAAATCACAAATGTTTTACTAAAAGATTGGAGAATTTGGGTACCCAAACCACCAAAATGGCTCGATTTTAGATTGAAAAAGCCTTACAGTAAGGGGATTGGGCTATTCCCCATGGGACACAACGGGAGTCCCTGTTTTCAAGATCACCTTTTTGGGCCAGCTGACAGGTCAGCAAGAGCGGAGGCTGTGGATGCCACGCAACTTCCAAGCTCGCAGGATTGGGCCCTGGGCCCTGGAAGATGGAGCACCCCAAAGATCCTATGCTCGTGGCTGTTGGAATACGAGACATTGCATTGATACACCCTCCGCTTAACATAGCGAACATTAGCCATGTAGAGATGAACTTTCCATTCAAACCTCCATTTTCGGTCTTGGGGTTTCAATTGCCATGTTTGATTATCAGAGTGTATCCAAAGTTTCAATTTTCCTATCAGTTGAATTGCTGATGTTGGAGTATTCTCCAGGTCTCACTCCCAGCTCCAGGATGGTTTGCGGCAGTGGTACTGGCTTGCTACCGCCTCGCAACTCGTGCTATTTCCTGCAAAAAATGCCACAACTTCGGGCTTTGGCAGCTTCACCCTCACATCCAAATCATCAAAGAGCTGCATCCACATCCAAAGAAACATTGGCAGATCTCGGATCTCAACGCAGGGGCAACGTTTTCACTGTGGGGTGTTTCAGGTCAACGTATGTGGACTCTTTCCATTTTAATGGGGACTTCTTGGGGCTCGGTGCCGTTGCCAAGGCTGACTGGCCTCGCCCTGGTGGCTGGGGTTCGCCTCTCAGATTCTCTTTATGTTGGATATACATAATATGGAGGTTTCCTGAAATGGGGGTACCCCCAAATGATCTACATAGGATTTTCCACTATAAACCATCCAGCTATTGGGGTACCCCCATTTATGGAAACCCTCATATGATTCATATGTATATACATACTACAATAAGAGATGGATAGACAGAGTAAAGTAGAGCAGATGGACAACAAGATAAGATAGATGTGGAGATGTATAGAATTTGTAGATAGACAGACAGACAGACATATATATATATATTTATAGATGTGTGTGAACCGCTTTATTCTCTTCCCTTCGACATGTATGTATATATATATATACATAATAAAAATAAATAAATAAATAAATAAATATATAAATAAATGAATAAATAAATAAATAAACAAATAAATGAAAAAAACACACATTATTCGATGAAGCGTAAGTTGATGACCACTTCTTCATCTCACGAAATTTGCCTTGCTGAAGCGCTGGTGTTGAGGTTCAACTTGGCCGGAGGCGCCGCAGGCACTGGATAAAATCATGGGTTGTCTTGCCCTTGATATTAGTAATTAGAACCAGAGGGTATACAAGCAGTGAATCTAGATGATATTTTTCTATCATCAACAAAGACAGTAAAGATGGGAATGCAAAACAACCATGTTTGCAAAACCATACGCCACATGCTGCAGGACTGTTCATCCTCCTGAAAATCTGCTTGGCTGAATGGATTTCAAGACTAGTCGCCTCGCCAAAGGATCGGGGTGGAGCCTTTGCTCGTTACTGCCGATGCTTAAACAGCCAAGTTGAGCTTGGAGGAATTGAAAGAGGTTAAAGGAATGTTACTTTTGAACTGCCAGATTGACACCTCATTGATCTGTTTTGATGATGCAGCCTTTGACCTATCCCCTACTGGTTCTATGCCATCATCATGCTCCTTGTTGCTCAACTGCCAGAGTCCCTTTGCATCGCTCACCTTTTTGCTGAAGCTTTGGAGCCTTTCACAGTTTATGGGGGCCATGTTGGTGCTTCTGCACCACTCGAAACGGACATGGCTTTTGGGTGAGAATCATCAGAATCGGTGAAGGGCTCACAAAGAGATGTCTCTTGACCTAAGAAGTCAAGGAGCTTGGCTCCAAGACTAGGAAAACATAGGAAAGCCAGCAGTGGCCAGCTGTTGGAGTCGCTCCCTGACTTCCTACTGGTAGATAGATGGGCGTGGATCAAAATGTTCTCCATCTGGTCAAAACATGATCCGCAGGTTATGAAAATTATCCAAGTTTCTTTTCTTTCCGTTTTTTTCCCCGTTCAATTACTTCCAATTGTTGTTTGGGTATGCATTTTTTGACCCATGCAAAGATCACCTGCAGAAAATATGAGGATCTCCAAATGTACAGTGGAGCTGATCGTTGTACAGTGATCGACGACCCTGTCACACTGCCACCTCGACATTCGGTGTACACTGTGATGGGCGTCCCCTTATGCCTCGAAGTTTAAATTTACAGAGCTTTCTGTCACCATCTGGCTATAAAAAGCAGATGGTGTCGTTTGCAGCTGGAGCTGTGCTGAAGCCGTGCTGTTTGCCATACGCCTGGTGCCATTGCAGGAGATCGCTTCCTTGGGACTGGAAAGAGAAGAAAGGCAGCGCCATTTTCTGGCACCCCATAGCATCCAACGAAATCAATGGTGCTTCAAGTTGGTTGTTCTAAACCGATTGGTTCTATCATACATATCCCTGTGTTTCTTTGGTTGAGTCGGTCCTCTGCTTTCTGCGGTTCCCACTTTCTGAGGTGCGTTGTATTTCTTTTCATAGACGCACATAAATAAAATATGACCACAACACACAGACACAGCACACTCACACACAGAGATACAGACGAACATAAATACAAACACACATACATGCATACATGCAAACATACTAATAATATATATATATACATATATATATACACACATTATGTACATATTTTATACATGCATAGAAATATACAACCATACATTACCTGACCTTACCTTATCAGTGTATTGCACTACATTGCCTTACCATACCTACAACATTACATTACACTACATGATGCTACATGACACACTACATTGCGTCATTGCGTTACCTTACATTCCATTTCATTACCTCACCTTACATGACACTACATTGCAGTACATTCCACAACTGTTCCCAGAATTTTTTTCCTATGTTCCACAACTGTTCCATAACTCTTCCACAACTGTTCCCATTTGGACAGTAGATTACATTCACCTAATTCCACACCCCCAAGTTCTTGCTGCCAGGCCGCCAGCTCCGCCAGCTCCTGCGCTGGCTGAGAGGCTGGCGGTGGTGGAGGCGCAGCCATGGGTGATGATCAGTTCCCCTGTTGGTTGAGGTACTTTTTTTGGGGATTTCATAGGGTTTTAACCATCAACATATGGGATTATTGAAGGGATTTCAATGGATTTCATAAGGGCCTCACCATCAAAATATGCGGACACAAGTGGGGATAACTGATAAATTATGCTTGGTTGATGAAATTGAGACCACATTGGAGGATTATACTACCCAATCTATTTGGGGATTATAACAATCCATGAGCTGGGAAATCCTACTAACCAACCAGTGTTAATCTAAGGGATTAGTTGGCGTTGCCTCACGGAGACTCGGCGCAACCCTGTTAGGAGCGACTGGAGATGTGCAACAAGCACGTCGCCGAGAGCAACGACTTCTTCGCTAAGGCAGCCAGAGAATATGCCGCAATTTGGGACAAAACTTGCAGGATAGGATTCATAAGTCCACAAACTGGGAAAGGTCCGGCCATGCTAAAAGAGCGCCCTACTGACTAGGATGCACATCCAAGTAGTAATTCTAGCAGCTTCAACAGAACCAAGCACGAATCAAGAACATCTGCGAAAGAAACGGGACAATTTTCAATAGGCTACAATCAGATTTATTCAAGTGGTTGATTTTCATCGCCGGGTTGGATTTACAAGATGGTACAACAATTTGTTTCACATTTTTGCTGATTCCATCCCATTTTAGTTTGTAAAATTCTAATTCCTGTTGGACCGCCATTTCTGTTGGCGAAATCCCAATCATTTGGCAAACATCACCCCTTTTGAAAATCATGTGATTACTAAAATCAGCATTTTCATTGGTTAAATCCGGCTAAAACATGTTAAAACGACATTTTGATACAGTTGATGCATCTAAAATCCTCAATTTTTCATCGCTGAGGCCATTAGCCAGGTCTCCGAGAGCGTGGCACAGTTGACTGAGAACCTCAGCGACATGAAGCTCCAGGTGGGGCGTCGAAGGTCTTGGAAGGTCTTGGAAGGTCTTGGAAGGTCTTGGAAGGTCTTGGAATCAATCCTCAGATTCTCAGATCATGTTCAGATATTTCAGATTCATCAACCAGTCAGACTCAGTCATTCTTGTGCTTTCACTACAGTTACTTTTACTAGCCATATTCCTTTTGCATATGTACACTATATGCCTATCCAATGAGTTGCTTTCATTTCTGGCTTCCAGAGGTGCAGGGAACTGGATCTGGCCGACCTGGCCGGTCTGTCCGGCAACCCATGGGATGACATTTCCAGTGATTCAATGGATTGGTTTAAGGAAAATCTGACAGAACATCTCCATATTTCACGGGAAATTCCATGGTTTCCGGAAGATTTCCCCTGAAAACCAATCCGTTGATTGATGCTTGGGCCAGCATTGAACTTGGACGTCACGCTGCTATGGGGCTCCCAGCTTTGCAACGAACTCGCCTGCGCTTCGCTGTGCAACGAACGACCCAATTGCCATGGAGCTGACATCGGTCGCCACCCCCGCCAGCAACAAGAGCGAGAAAATGGAGGACACCAGAGTATACCACCAGGGGTTGTGTTGCAGATGTTTTTTTTTGGGGCAAACACCATCAAAAACCACCCAACTTCAACGGTGCTCTGGTGAACTTGGCAAAAAATGAACAGGATATAGATATGACTGGATTAGATATGAACAGATCATATTGGGATGGGAACTTCAACGTTTGGGCTTGGTAAGTTTTGATTAACCACCTCCCTTGCCTTTCGTGTTGCTACACGCCAGTGCAGGAGAAGGGAGAGAAAGAGATGCCAAAGGCAAGCCCGGTTGTCGGTGGAATTTTCATATCAGCGTGTGTTCTAAGGCACCTAGGGGACCCTCGACGAAGAAAAGGGCAATGTCCGTGGATTTCAAGCTGGGGCACCCCACTTTGATCCGTCCCGAAAATGCTTTTGCTGCCGCCCCCCAAACATGTCCGCAGGTGGAACAGGACCAGATGCAAGAAGAGCGTGAACCAAGCACTCTCATCCTCTTCTGGCTGTGCTGTGTGAGTGCTCTGGAGGGAATGGATACCCAGTTGGTTCCTGCTTGCCAATTTGCCTTGCAACGGGACTTGGGATTGCAACTGGGCCACTTTGCAGTTCTGTTCACTGTGCAGATGGTTCTGACGAACTTGGCTGCTCCCTTCTGGGGTATCCTTGCCGATCGTGGTACTTTGAAGAGGAAGACCATCCTGATGCTTGGAGCCATTGGGGAAGGAGTTGCCATTACCATCTTCGCTTTTGTGCCGAATTTCTGGGTGATGATGTTCTTGCGGGGCATGAGTGGCTTTTTCTTGGCCTCCCTTCGCCCTGTTTGCAATGGCTTGATTGCAGACCTTACCAGTGACAACAAACGTGGCAAAATCTTTGGGCGGGTGCAGAGCGCTCTGCTGGTTGGCATGTTCTGCTCTTTGCTCATTGCTGGAAACGTGGCAAACCCCTACGTAGGAAATATTCCCGGATGGCGCTTTCTGTTTGCCGGAGGGGGTGTGGTTGCCTTCATTGTGGCTCTTGGCTTGGGAGGGTTCTTGACAGAGCCTCCTCATCAGTTGGATGAGTCTGCCAAAGTGAAGGGTTGTGCCGCAGTCCGCACAGAACTGTGCACT